GTGGCTGGAAAGGTCCCCAGTGATGTGTTTTTGCTTCTGTGACTCCCTAGGTGTATCATCCGAGCAAAAGGATGGAAACTATCTGTTAAAAGTCTATTATCCTGGAGGTCCCCCAAGAATGTGACCTCCCACACCTTCATCCTCTGGGCCTTCTCCAATGGTACTAGAAGGTGTGACTGAAAGTGCCGGAAACCCGCCAGGGGAACACATGGACTTGGGGGCAGAGGCAGATCTGAAGCTGAATTTATTGCCTCTTTCCCAAACTTAGAGGACAGACATGTTGTAAATCCTCCTCATCCTCACTCCCAGGGGCCCAGGATAAACCCCCTTCATCTCCAGACAGAAAACAAGAGGCCCTGAGACGATAGGAGCTTCCCCAGATGTTGTTTTGGCAGAACCATAATGGGGCCGGGCCTCCCGGGGCTGGGTGTCTGGGGCAGGCAGGAATCACAGCTGTGACAGCCAGAGACCACCCCCCCAGGGTGGGGCCTGAAGTGTGGAGAGAAGCAGACTCAAGAAAGAGGGACACAAGGAAGAATCTGCAGAAGAGGGCCTGCAGCGTCCTGCCCCTGGCCTCCTGGCTTGGGGTCCATGGTATTTGTCAACTGTCCTGCGGCTCAGCCCCAGCTCTTGATCATATGGTTCCAGGGAAGGGGCCGGGTGGCCAGACTGGGAGCCACTGCCCTGAGCCTGTTTGCTTATCTGTGGCAAGAGAGCATGGCTAGGAGATCCACCCTGTCTCTCCCTTCGTCTGTGATCTGTGCTCCACACTGCTGACTCCTTGGGGCCCAGTAGGATATGTGATCACCAGATCTCCTGATTCGGTGACATATCTCCAGGGGGCTTACTGCCTGAGCTGATACCCCATATCCAGTTAGGGACCCAGCCCTGTTGATCATCCGTTTGAAACAGCTTCTACTCCGCATCACTAAAGCTTCTGCCATCAGATCTCGCTGGGACAATCACAACAGTTTCCTACACGGTCTGTCTGCCTGGAGTGCTCCCCTTCACACCCTTTTCTCAGTCTATCTATCCTCTGCCGTAAAAACTCCTTCTAACCACAGATTTATCTTTCTCTTCTGTTTAAAATCCTTTGAAGCCTCCTTACAGGAAGTTCAAATTCGAAGCTGGGCCTTCAAGGCCTTTATAATCTGGGCCAGCCTCTAAGCTCAGTTAACCTCCTTCTCAGTGTTTCTTAAACACACACTTGCACTTTGATCCCACTGTGCCTTTGCTCATATTACGGGCTCAGCCTAGAATTCTCTTTGTTCACGTCTTTGCCCATCAAAAAGGCTATTCATTCCTTCAAGACCTAGCTTCTGTGTCACCTCCTATGTGAAGCCTTTCTGGATTCACCACAACCTCCCACTCCCCATTGCAATTAGTCACTTCCTCCTTTCTTTATAACTCCATAGCTCATAGGCTGGTGTTATAGTTCATTGTGTAGCCCTGTGAGACTGCGGTCCCTTGAAGGCGGGGTCTGGCTTATACTGTACTTCAATGCCTGGCACACACCTCGGCCTTCGGCACACAGTAGGAACTTGGTGAATCTGGTTGAATTCATATCTCCATGCAAGTGATAGAGAGAGAACACTATTCTTCCCATACTAGTGAAGGAAAAAGGACACGTAGATAGGATGATGGACATGTCAGAAAAGACACTAAAAGGGGCTGGGGTGGGGGGTGTGTGTGTGGGCCTGGGAAGGGGTGGGAAGGGATTCTAAATCTTACTGCCTCCCCCCAACCCCAGCACCAAGAATAAGGTCGGTGGGGAGGAATCTCTGCAGATTAAGAATGGGTGGTCTCCGCTGCTTAGGATACCAGCCCTGTTCTGATGAGGACTGACCCTGATGGTTCATAATTAAACTTCTGAACTAGCTTGTATTTATTCTAGTGTGGTGGTTAGCGTCCCTGCCCTGGAGCCACACTGCCCAGATCCTAGCTGTGCCATCTAAAGCAAGTTATTAAACCTCTCTGTGCTCAGGGGGCGCCTGGGTGACTCAGTCGTTAAGTGTCTGCCTTCGGCTCAGGTCATGATCTCAGAGTCCTGGGATCGAGCCCCGCATCGGGCTCCTCGCTCTGCGGGAAGCCTCCTTCTCCCTCTCCCACTCCCTCTGCTTGTGTTCCCTCTCTCGCTGTGTCTATCTCTGTCAAATGAATAAATAAAAATCTTTAAAAAAAAAAAAAACCTCTCTGTGCTCAGTTTCTTTTCTTTTTTTTTTTCAGTTTCTTTATCTATAATATGAGGTTAACAGTTCTTACCTCATACAGCTGTTGCCTTAAATGAGTTTACAGTACTTAGATTTGTGCCTGGCATATGATAGTGGTCAGTATATGTTAATTATTATTACTTATAATTTATATTTTGCTTCCTTCCAAGAAGAATTTGAGACACCTTAAAATATTGAACCACACATATAAAAGAGGATAATTATATGTATATATTTATATTATATTAAAGATCAGAAACCGGGGCGCCTGGGTGGCTCAGTGGTTAAGCGTCTGCCTTCGGCTCAGGTCCTGATCTCAGGGTCCTGGGATCGAGCCCCGCATCGGGCTCCCTGCTCCGCGGGAAGCCTGCTTCTCCCTCTCCCACTCTCCCTGCTTGTGTTCCCTCTCTCACTGTGTCTCTCTCTGTCAAATAAATAAATAAAAAATCTTTAAAGATCAGAAACCAATTAGTAGTATGAGGGAGAGAGATAAAGTTAGGTATTTGCTAATGTGTCTGAATTAGTTCCTTTATTGACCCCTTAATTATCTGAGAGATTCCAGGAAGCCAAGGCAAGAAAGGAATACATGCATTGTATAGTTTTCAACGTAAAACGTAAGAAAGCATCCAAGTTGGCCTGTTAAAGTAACACCCCTTCCCAACACACACACACACACACACACACACACACACACACACACACACTGAACTCAAGAAGGAATTTATGGGGACGCCTGGCTGGCTCAGTCGGTTAGGCGTCTGCCTTTGTCTCTGACAAATAAATAAATTAATTAAAATCTTTAAAATAAAATTTAAAAAAAGAAGGAATTTATGGTATGAATGCCTATGTTGGACTATTGGAGCCAAGGGATCTGAAGTTATTCTCAGTTGGCATTTACTATCATTCTCAATTGGGCTTTAATGACAGCCCATGATGACAGTGGGAGTAATCAGAGTCAGGATAAATGGCCAGGAAAATAGCAATCAACATCCTTTCCATGTTTCTGTCTGTGCTCAGCTCATGGATTCCTTCCCTCCCGCCCTCCCTCTTGGCTCTGGAAACTCCCTTGAGGTCAGGGGTTGAGACCTCTGAGTCACGCAAATGGCCAGGTGGCCACAGGTGCTTTCTGCTGCCTCCCCCCAGCACTGGAGTTGTGTGGAAGCGAGGTGGGTCCCCTGGCAGCAATTCCCGAGGTGAGTGGAGAGAGGAATGCTATGAGATAAGGCTAAGAGCGTTTTGAGAAGGAGGAGCCCCCAGTTTGAACAGAATGATGATCTTAGTGGGAATGGGTAAGCTTCTAGCAAGGTAACAACTCCCTGCCCCCCAGGTTTTGAATTCAAAGAAGAATCTATGATAAGTAAGCATCCTTATATAAAAATCCAGGAAGGCCACCACTCCTGTCCAGCCTGGCCTGGCTTAGGAGGAGGGACTCTGCTTAAGAACTGAAACACCATAAAGGCTTTGAACCTATCTTGCTGAATTCACAGAGAGGTGCAGAGGTGTAGGTAGGGGTTAGGAACAGCTGAATTACTCTGCAAAAGAAAACAGGAGGAATCTGCAAGGAAAAGGGCTGAAACCCATAGCTCACAACAGTGAAAACACTCATGGACCAGCAAGATGATTCTTAACCTGATCTGACTGGAGAAAAATAGGAGCTCAAAGCCAGAAGCAATGATGAGAAGGAAAAGTCTTCCCCACTCTCCATCCCCACTCCTAGAGGAATCTGGAATATTTTGAGGAAGAGCATCGGATCTCCCATAGATCTTGGAATGCATCTTTGAACAACTCTTAGCCAGCACCTAAAGAGCATCTGACCTCAGCTGACCTCAGTTGGGAGCATGGCCATAGGTGTTGGCCCCAAGTTCCTTGGCTTTAATGAGGACAACCACTGCCCAAAGAGGGTTCCTCCCTGCCCACTGTGCAGTCTACTTCTCAGCAACCCAGCCTGGTCCTCCTTGGCAGGGAGGGGGTTCCGTGGGGATCACTGAAGTCAGGGGGTGGCGAGGAAGAGTGGGAGAGTAAGCACTGCAGAGATTCATTCGCCCTGTCTGGCTCTCACCATGACTCACTGCCATTTACTTATCGGTCATAAATCAGCCACTTGACTCCAGGATCCGAACACCTTTTGTCCTTTTTGTCTTAGAGCGAGCGATCAAAGGAAGGACACGTGGTGCCCACTCTCAGGGCTGGAGAGTGGGGACTCTTCTGTCTGGTTTGGGGAGAAATGGTTCCTGCCCTCAGGAAACTCCGAGTTCCCAAGGACGAGGAAGCGTGCACATGGAGGACGCTGCATGCCAAGCAGCCAGTGGACAGAGACATGTGGGCAGACGAGCACTGCACAAACACAGCCCACAATTAAACGGAAGGGGCTGGAGGGGAGGTGCCAGCAGTCAGCTGGGGTCCAGCAGGAACCAGCTGGGAATTCTGAGCCTGAACTGGATTTGGAGGTCAGACAAGCCAGTCCTGTACACGGTCTAGTACTACACGACTGCTGGCCTGCTGGCTCTTGGCCATTCCGGTTTCCCTCCCAGGTTTAACTGGAAGGGTCAGCTCGAGCAGGCTCACCACTTGCTTACAGACCAGAGGCCCAAAACAGCTGTTCACAGCCTTGGGAGCCAGGAGGCAAACACCAGATGACTGTTTACAAAGCTTCCACTTTTCAACAGGGTCAAAGGGCATTCCTAGAGCAGCTGGGGGAGGCCCCAGAGAGGCAGGTTCTGGAGGCTGAGTCAGCATGTGGGCCTCTGCTGCTGCCTTCTTCCGAAGGGGCACCCGAACAGGTTCTTCCAGGGCACAAAGTGACCACCCAGGATTTTGCACAACGCTTCCCAGTTTACAAAGCTGTTTTGCATCAACAAGTGGAAGGCTCATCTGATCCATAAGACAAGTATCCTCTATACTTTATGAGTAAGGAAACTGAGGCCCAAAGGCATTAGGAAGGAGGCTTAAGGTCAGCCAGCGGAGGCAAGGAGGTCCTTCCCACTACAGCACACAGGCCTCCACATCACAGCCCTGGACTTTAGGGACGTGGGGGAATTAAGGAACGTGGGGGAATTAAGGAACGGAGTGCATCCATTACAGGCCAAGTCCTCATCTGCATTTCAATCTCGCTCTGCACATGGCACCTTGAGAAGCCCCAAAGAGGGAGGGTGCAGGGAGATAAAGCCTGGGAGGGAAGGCGGCGGCCTGGGTGCTCCAGGCCTCAGCTCTCCAACGACATGGAAAAGCCAGATCCTCTCTCCACACTGGCTCACCTTTGCCCCTTCCTGGGAACGGCCTGGAAGCCGAGCGCGGGGCTGGGGACGCGGACAGCTGTCGCCCGGCCCCTCCGGAGTCCGCGCCCATATAAGGGCAGCGCTTCCCGTGGGCCGGGCGGTGACGGCCGGGAACCACGTAAGCGGGTGGCGGGGAGGGGCGGGCGCCGGGTCCCGAAAACAAGTGACGTCGCTCGGGACCCGGGGGGGGGGGGGGGGGGGGGGGGGAGGGGGGGGGGGGGGCGCCCCCTTCCGGGGCAATTGGGGGTGCGACGCGGGGGTCGCGCGCGTGGGCACTTTCTGTGCCCGGGGCTTGGGACGGCCAAGGGCGTCTGCAGTCTGTTTTGTCTCCGAGTGTCGGGGCTGTGTACTTCACTGACGGCGACGGTGCGCGTTCTTACCCTGGGAGCCAGAAGAGGAGCTTTGCCGTGGGGTGTTTGGGGACCGTCGCGTCTCCATCTTCTTCCTCGCTAAACAAACAAAATGACTCACGGCCCTTGTGCCCCCGGAGACCCCCAGAACGTCTCCCTAGGGGCGCCACTGTAAGGGACGGGCTTCCCTTTTCCCGAGCCGCCTCCCACCCACCCCTGCCAGAGCCGAGTCAAATAAAAAAGAGGTCTGGCTTAGGAGCTGACGGAGGAGAAGGGTGGCTCAGTCGTTAAGTGTCTGCCTTCGGCTCAGGTCGTGATCCCCGGGTCCTGGGATCGAGCCCCGCATCGGGCTCCCTGCTCGGCCGGGAAGCCTGCTTCTCCCTCTGCCACTCCCCCTGCTTGTGTTCCCTCTCTCGCTGTGTCTCTCTCTTCAAATAAATAAATAAAATCTTTAAAAAAAAAATTTAAAAAAAAAAAAGGAAGTTTTAGGGATGGCTAGTGCCAGGCCGAGGCCTGGAAACAGAAGAGACACCAAAGGACAGAGATTCAGGGCTCACATTTCCACCAGGCTTCTTTATGGAGCCTTGGTGGTGGGGGGGGGGGTCGTTTCTAAGTCCAGCTGTGTTCCAGTGAAGCCTGTCAGAGTGTGGCCCTTGTAGTCCTGCCTGTGTCACTTGAAATTGTGAGGGGGCTTGGAGGGCAGTGATGAGGAAAGAGTGCAAAGAGGGAGGGGATGCGTGGCAGAGGGGGTGTAAGAGAAGTAGGACGCAGATGGGAAGGGCCAGAAAGGAGCAGAGGCTCAGCCTGTGGTTGAGTAACTTGGCTGGCCCTTCTGGGGGTGGGGCTCAGGCATAGGGGAAAGTCCCCAGGGCCTCCCAAACTGTCCCTTCACACCCACAGTGCTCACCCACCCCCTCTCCCTCCCCTATCTAAGGCCTACTTCCTCTCTTTACTTCCCCTGGTAGAGAGTGGCTGGTGGAGCCTCCCGGGCTCCAAACTCCCAGCACAGAGAGGAAACGGGAGTCCAGGGCAGGGGCAGAGACAGTGGCCCTCCTCTGGGGCATCTGCCCAGGATTTGGCCAGTTCGCCTTGACTGCCCAGGCCTAAGCTCAGGGGGTTAGTCGAAAATGGTTTTAAGGCTGGGAATTGAAGAGACGGCAGAGCAGAGGTCTTGCTTCCTTGGGGGGCTAGCATCCCCGGGCTGGATCATGCCAAGGTGTCCTCACACTGGTCCTGAGGGTGGGCTTTCAGGTCTTAGCTCTGCCACTCTCCGTGAGGTCTTGGGCACGTTCCTAACCTCCCCAAACCTCAAGACAAGGCGTTGTCTGAAAAATAAGAATACGAGTATCTTATTGGTTCTTTTGAGGTTTTAAAAGTGATCATGCCTACAAAGCATGTCATACATATTAATCCCTTGTGCAATATTTATGCATCTGGCATGTAGAAAACAATAAATAGTAGCTGTTATTACTATTAGTAGCCGTAGCAGTGACTGAAGAAGGCCTCTCTAGGTCGCCTACAAGGAAAGTGAGCCTGAATTGTCAGGAGTTCAGGGGTCCCCCGCCCCTCATCTTCCTTCTACCTCTAGTACCTCATCACCCAGACCACCTCTTCCTCCGTCTGGGTCGAAAGGGCCGTGAGCATGGAAACACCATAGGTGTTCACATCCCGGCTGTGCCTCAATTTCCTTATCCCTGAAATAAGAAGTATACTTTCTGGCTGGCTTCTCTTATTGTGAGAGTCAAGGGAGTCAAAGCGTGTGCACATACTTTGAAGACTGTCCCCACCTACCAGTTCTCTACTTGGCGACTTCTCTCTCCTTAGCCTCAGCTCCCCCTTGCGTTCCTATTTCTCCAGACCTAAGTCTCGCTCTTTTCACAGCCTCGGCCATTTTGGGCTCGGCCCGATGGATGGCTTTCCCTTCAGACCTCAGAATGCTCACAGTTGTTTAAACCTGACGGGTGGACACCTCCGCAGGGCAGGATAGGTCTTCTTTGTTTCATTTGGTGACACAGGGCCAAGCCCAGGGCAGGGCACACAGTAGGGGCTCAGTAAAAGCTAGTGTCCTTTCGTCTATCAGCAAATCCTAGGGAGGGAGGCCAAGAGAGGTGGCCCCCGCAGAATTTGGGGGAGCAGGCTTCTGTCCTCTGGGAGGGAGGGTTTGGGGAAGAGAGGAGGACAGAGGAAGGAAGGCGCCATCCCGACTCAAGGATTCCTGCCTGCCCTTCCCAAAGCCCAAGGTCACCGCCATCAGTCCAGGGCCACATCTTCGTTGTGCTGACTGGTTTTACTCTAGGTTCCCAGGGCGGAAAGCCTCTTGCCCCTGCACTCCATTCCTGTTGGGGAGGAGAGCAGACGTCAGGCTGAAAGGGAAGTGCTTGGGCAACAGGTTCCATTTCCTCACAGCTGCAGCACTACCCCAAACCCCTCCGCACCCCCCAGCTGCCCCCACCTCCCCAAGTCACCAGGTTCCTCGGGTTCCTGGGTGCAGCCTCCGGAAACAGGAAACAGCTGTCCTCCCTCTGATGGGTTTAAAGTGAGATTGGCTTTACCTCACCCTTACCTCTGGCCACCAAAGGCCTTGGCCCCGCCCCGCTTCCCTCAGGCTAGACCCTGGCCCTGGGCATGGCGGCGATTGCCCCCCCCCCCCCCCCCCCCCGGGCTAGCTGTCTCCCCACCCTTCTCCCGGGGCGCTCTGCCTGCCGCTGAGCCCGACCTGTCCTCACTGGGTGATCGGATCGCTCTCGGCTCAGCCCAGAGTGCTCGGGGCTGTTCCTGTGCCGTCTGGCCCTCATCAGTGTGGCCCCCTGCACACTCACTTCTGAGCGCCAGGACTTTGCATCTGCAGGGGGCCTTGCCCAAGGCCGGGAGGAAGCTGCTTCTATAGAAGCCAAGAGGTCACGCTGC